TAATATTCGCGGAATGAGACCTTGAAAAGTGTTCCGGCTGAAACAGCTGCCTTCCCGCCAAAAGCGCTCATTATGATTGGTTGTCAGGTACAAACTTTCGATAAATATGCAAACAGATTCTGATGTAACCGTGAGCATCACAGTAATAAAGGATAAAAAAGTCGACGTTGAATTTGATGAGCGCTTTTGGCGCGAATTCGAAGGAAAGTTTTCAGAATTAATTTGCACGTTTCCGCCACAATTCACGATTGATATCTCTCGGAATTTGGTGAATTGCTATAATTAAGAGTGTACTTTGGAGAAATGAATGAATAAGGATTTCTTGGAGGAGGTGCCACCTCATCGTGTAATTCTTGTCATCGTGATCCCAAAACTAAGGAAATTTTACAAACTGAATTGGAATTACCATTAAAATTTTCACACTAACACTACAAAGCTTAGAACAATAAAATAGGAGTCTTTAGACGCAGAAAATTTGAAAAGTATTCATCTATTTCTGTTACCTTAATGTACCATGCGTTCAATTAAATTTCTGATCAAAGTCGCTTATGAATTACATTATTCAATGTACTTATTATTAATTTCAAATTCTGAGACCACTTTCATACGAAATTTAATTGAAAATATTATATAAAACTTGTGTACCCCAATTAAAAATTAAGTCAATATAAATACTAAAATACATAAACACAGAACACAGGACTGAACAATTTCAAACTTAGTCCCTGTATTGTTTTTTTTTAAATACATACATACAATTACACACTTAGGTACTATCGTTGGAAATGATAAAACCCAATGTCAAACATTTTACAACATTTTCTGGATGCAATTACATTAAACCAGCTAATGAAGGTTTAAAATAAGTACCTTCACACAATATTTATAATTTATTCATAAATCAAGAGTAGCAAGCCGTAAATAAATAACACCATGACAATCAATAGTTAATACTAGAGCTCCTATATTACAAGAGTGGGGACACTGAATGTCAATTTTCTATTTTTTTTATACGTAGACTGTCGTATATAACAATAAAATTGAATACAAGTCAAAAGGTCAAACAATTGTCAAATAAAAATTAACAAATAAAAAAAAATTCAAAATACATACTATAGGAACTCTAGTGTTTGCAGTGCTATACTCAGAATACCATTACATTAAAAAAAAAAAGTTATAGGTGGCTGTGCATTTCAGAAAGCAGATAAACCAAAAACCATATGTGTCAAATGATGAGCAAGAAAAAATAAAAATCGACCTGTTTCAGGATTTTTTACAAAAATCGCTTATATTCAAATTATGAATTTTATTCCAGTTAAAAATTCCACTCCGTATGTGATATTTTCTGTCTTTAATTCTCTCTGTAACTTGTTGTCACCATTCGTTCATATTTCTACGAACTTAGTTACACGTTATTTTTTTAAATAAAAAAATTAAACACAAGGTTCTTTTAAAAATAATTTAATTGAATGTTACTTCTATTTTGTTATTTTATTACTGGTAAACAAGTCGTTTTGTACCATAACCAATTATTCTTAGAATGATATGTCTACTTTTAAGGGGTGAAATAGAACAACTGCTTCTATAAAATTCTTGCATGGCTTGACTAACGTTAATTTCTGGGAAATGACAGTTTCGTACATTTAAAAATAGAATATGTGCAAACAATAAGGATAGACTGACCAATTTCTTTAAAATGACAAAAAACGCGTTGTGTCTGTTCAAACAAAATTTGGCATATTCTAACTAGTAAAGTATGGGTCTTGATATTCGCTTATTTTTCCTTTGTTAGGCTGGGAGCAAGTGACTAATTTTGAGATGTATAAAATGTGTGCAAAATTCACAAAATAATAGTTTAGTTTTAGTATGTGCTTATTTAGTAAAAACAAAAAAATTGCATGTTTATTCGTTTAAATTGATGTTTAAATACTTACCTACCACGTATTCACTCACCTCTTTCTCATGAATTAAACCGAAAGTGCAATAAAAGCATTATTTATTGGAGTATTCTATTGCTGTGCAGTTACAAGTTACAACATAATTATATGATAAATTCTATCTCACAGTCTCGCTACGCTGATTATATCTATCGTTTCTATTCTTTCACAACTCCCACCAGATGAGGGAAACCACAACAATGTTTAGTAACACAGATTGGGTGACCAGAATTACGATAAGCGAAATTAAAAACCATGCAATCACTTATTATTAATTGATTTTAATATGTTTGGTCTAAAATGGAAAACAGGAATTGGACATACCGCTCTTTATTATTTTTCCATATAAGAGAGGAAGGTGGAACTCCCATATACCTACCTAAAATTGTTTACTACGATTCCAAAAATTCCAATTTCGTAGTTGTTTTGATGTTCCTATTTCCTCCTAATGATAAAGCTGATTAATAAAAAATTATTTACAATTTCAAAGATCATCATCACAACGTATATGGTCAATAGATCGAATGAAATCATTGTAGGCTACGCGGGCAGTAACCTCTATTATAGCGGACCTGTAAGCCTGTCACCGACATTGTACGCATTTACCATTTTAATAAACACAAATAAAAGTACATAAATGTGAAATACACTGGGCCACTTGTGGAAAATTAAAGGGAAGTAATTTCATTATTAAACGTCATCCGGTGAAAGAGGAAAAATCCCCAATAAACCCCAAGAAATTTATTATTTTGGAACTGTTTATCAGAGCATACAGCTGGTTTTCTGTTTTCATAACACGTTAATTGCTTTACAAGGTGATTGTAGCTTTCTTTTATCATTAAGTTTAAATATTGTTAAGTTGCGATTTTAATGACGCTTATTAATTGATTAGCTACATTTTCTTTTCATTGTGTTGCTGTTTTTTTTATAAGTAAGCAGTCAGCTCACGTACGAGCATTAAATTTGTCATATTTCTTGCAGTTTAAAATTTATAAGAGAGAATTCTTGTACGTTGTAGTGTCATTAGTTTCAGTGTCACTGCTGATGTTACTTTCCTTTCATGAAATAAAACTTGTAAATTTATTTGATTATTACATTGTGGTCCACCCACGCGGAAGAGTGAAAATTATAGATGACGTAAGTACTAAGTACGTATTTGGTACTCATAGCAGGTAGAAGTGAAGTCGTAAAGTAAGCAGATTCGCGACCTCTTTGATAATGGTTTGCGTTGGCACTTGGTAATTTCAACAAGTCCTCGAAGTCTTATTTGCAGTAATGACTAAGTCAATGGACGTTACATTCAATCACAACAGTATTCACTGAACATCGATCGCTCCCGAGTACCCACATTATCTCGAAAGAACCTTTTAGCTTTTACTCTTCTACTATGCTGCAAAATAATTGCGTAAGTTCTAACAATGTGTATTTAACTATTAACCAACAACACATGGACTTTATTTGCATAACCTCCATGTTCACGAAAAATACGCGTGTTGCATAAACATTTATTTAAATTTTTAATTATCGCTAGAATGCTAGCACAATCTAAATTATTTTGTTCATTTCTGTTCGGAAAATTACCATACGAAAGTAGTACCATCGGGTTAGCTGTTGACCCCAATAAAAGTATTACATTTCGGTTACTGCACACTATTGTGGGATTTAGGTTTTAAACAATAATACAAGTTTAATTGACCTTAACTCTGTTACATTATTAATGAGAGTTGGATAGTTTCAACTGTTACAAGGCATAATGTGATCATTCTCTTCCTATTTTATTTATCCGACGACTCTACAGATCCACTGCAAAACACTCATTGCTTGGTAGGATTAACTTAATTAAAAACAAACTGTTCTTTTGGCCATTATTCCTTTGAGCACCTACTATAACTGCAACTCGAGTGCAAAACGGGGAGCAAATTGCCACTTTTCTCTGTGCATGTATTCGTGTGTTTAACACACAAGTGGACAAAAATTAGCATACTTCTCGAAAGGTTCTATTCCACTGTTGACAAGCATTATAAATCTTTTATTAAAATCAAAAATTTCAAACAAAGTCATTTTTCTTATTTTTTCCATTTCCTTGCATATTATTAAAATATTCAAGTAAAACTTTGTCCTCTAAAAGTGTAAAATAAAGAAAATTTACAAATCCACACATTTTAAATGTGAAATTTGAAGAATCTCAAAATAATAATATATTATGACATTAGATTTGAAAGGAAGAGTACTCGAGTAACCATAAACACGATCAAATGTAAAAAATATTATAAATTGTCATATTGGAAAAAAAAGTTATGATTATTGATTGCTTGATCCATTTTTGTGAGATTATATTTAGATAAGGGAAAATTTACTGATCGTTTTCTCTCAATGCTATATTTCTAAAGGGTAAGCAAATATAAAGTTTTCTTGTTGTGCCTGAAGATGGCCATTACAAAAATGAGCCGAAACATGTCGCATTTTAGCATTAGGAAAAATAATTTCCCTTTTTTTAACTAATGTTGAAAAATTCACAATTTTTTGATCATGTTAAATAAACATTTTGAACAATTCTTAAATTGCAGCAAGATGAAAGTACCGCTATCTGAAAATCGTTCCCCAGAGTCCCATCCAGACTGGACTATTACGGTCCAGATGATGAATAGATAATAATTAAATAAAAATAATCCAAAAATCGGTCGGTCGTTGCACTCGATGCTGTTTTCTATATTCCAGTTGCGTTGTACGAAATACAGTTTTCTAGCCCACTTGCCCGTGTATTTTAGTTCCCAAAGTTACGCAAGCGACCTCCTTTCCACGTAGGAAATAGCAATGGTTCCTAAACCCTACCACTGCAGCTGCTGCAGAACTGCTGGGTTTTTACAGAAGTTTTTACAATCGCATGTCATCACGAAAATGATGTGATAAATTACAGTCAAATATTTTTTTAAATTACTGTTTGCGCACACAACGCACCCACTTTCCACTCATTTATTTATTACCAAAACAATAAACTGACCTTTAGCACGGAGTTACGTAAAGCTGAAGTTGTAAAACAATAATAAAATAAATATAGTGACAATGAGAATGAAAAATATGGTGTATTATTATCGAAAGAATAACGTATTTTGGTTTCGTGAAGTTTAATACAAACATTTTTCGATTAAACGACTTGTAACTGATAATAAATGTGTTGTAATTAATTTATTCTATCACATGATATAATTATTAGAGGGGACAGCTAGTTAACATATGGGTTTTACCAGTGAACGGCGTGTTGGACTGACTAAACTCTTGTTATACATATTTTAAAAAAGAACAAATCAAAAGTTTGTGATTATTGCAAGTAAATTTTTTATTTGTTACATTTTTTTATATTCATTTTCTAATAATTATTCTGTCTTGTGGGAGCTTTCCAGAAAAAAATGTAGTTTCAACAGCAGTCTAGAGAAACACCTACTCAGTCACTTTTTTTCGAAATTTATTGACAGGTATTAATTTTTTATTAGTCACAAAATACTATTCGATAACGTTTCAGGGTCAATAAAGAAAGAAAAACTTCGTCAACAAACCGGTTGTGTCATATTTGTTCAGGTAAAATTATGTAATATACACATGCATACGAGTGATTACCTTTAGTTTTGGGGATAACAATCTAAAATAATATTTTAAATAATTTGTGTTAAAGTAAAGAGACATCTAATCAGTATTAGGTAGGTATATTTAAAATTAAGTTTCTACTAATCCACAAAATCCTTAACTGACGTGACCAGTCAGAACTGACATTACATAACTTAATAAGCTAGTAATAGTAGAAGTAAATAGATACATATTTAATCTTTTTTTTTCCTCTTTTATACTGTATTTATTACTTTAAGCCAATAAAAAAAGCAACAAAGACAACTTAGTCAATTGCAACCCTCATGTGTAAGGTTATTTCAAAATGGCTTCCTTTCGCTAGTGAACTGATCGATATCTATTAAGGTTAAAGTTACTGGGTAAAATCGTTACTATACAACTTTGTATAATTGATGAAAATGAAATATGCATTTCATTAAAAAAGCATTGCCTTGATTCCCATGTTTCTCTAGAGTAGAGTACATTATCCACTATTTTATATTGACCCAGATACTCGAAAAAGTTTTGTATGAACACACGCATTTTCTGTTGCATAATAGATAATGAATTATGGCAACGATATCTATTTAAACATTCAAAGGTAACCCAAGCAGTGAACCGAAAAATATTTGCCATTTTATTGCAAATCAAAGGTTTGACTTGTTGAGCAATATTTGGTAAAATTATTTATTATTGTTACTGAATTAGTAACTTTCACACGTAGTTCTATACATTCATTTAAAATGATTTCTGAATGAACTGTCAGACTCCTCTTGCCATTGGCGCCTCGAAGACTACCTCCTGTCAAAATGACAAATTGCTGTCATCACAAAAGAGGTTGTGTTAGGTCTGCCATTTTCTGATAACAGTCCTGCTTACATGAAAGAATTATTAATTTTAGGGTAGAATTAAAGAAATTTTCTATTCAATTAGTGTGAAAATTCCACCTGTCTTAATAATAATCTAATTTCAATGCATTTTCTTTCATAACTGAAATTGGCTAACGCCAAATTCTCACTTAACGTGTTTTCAAAAACAAAGAAAAATTTATATAAAGAAATTTCATTCTTATTTTATTAAAATAAAATTTATGTTAATCATAAAGAGGAAACTGAATTTTTATCATGGAATTCCAACTTGTTCTGTGATGGGTGTACACATCAATATAACCGTTCAGTTTAGGAAATGGCCATTTTCCAACCCAAAAAGTGATAATTTTTTTACTTGGTTTTAGCAGTTATAACAACATATGAACACGCATCACAGAACAAGTTGGAATTCCACGATAAAAATGCAGCTTCTTTTTATGATTATCATAAATTTTAGTTATAATAAAATGAGAATGAAATTTCTTCATATAAATTTTTCTTTGTTTTTGAAAACTCATTAAGTGAGAATTTGACTAATTGAAAGAAAATGCATTGAAATTAGATTATTATTAAGTCACAAGTGGAATTTTTACACTAATTGAATATTAATTTTCTGTATAATAAAAAAAATCTCTGTTATAATAAATAATTCCTAATCCTTACAACAAATTTAGGGCCCCCAAATTCAGTAAGTCAAAAAGACAATAAATTATGAAAAGTGAAATTATTTCATAGGTCCCAAGACAAGGTATTTATACTATAATTTTTATATTAAATGTAATTAAATTTTTTTTTAAATATAATTGACCAAAAAAAATTGTAAATGTTTTAGACCACCACTGACTGAAATAAAACTTGTGCAAGGCGCCATTTATACCCCAAAGTGTAAGAAGTTAGGGGCGGAGACAAAGCAAACTAAAGGGTGATAGCTGATCATCTCGAAGAGCCTTCGCATTCATGGGAAGCCGAAAATAGGAATTACTAGGGTAGGGAATGGGAGATACAAGTAAATATTGAATTTGTCAGTATAGGTATATTGGTACCAAACAAACGATGTTGTCTCTCAAAACACATCAACCGTTACCAAATTAAATGTTTCTATTTTTATTCTAATCTGTTTAAGAGCAAACCTCTGTAAAAAGTATTGTATCTTCACGGTCTATGCTTTTAACATAAATCCAATTTTGCGTTGTTTGTAGAGAATAAATTTGATTTCCTAATAATATGCCTGAGCACATTTGCTATTTTCTATCGTCTCTATTAAATAAATCGCATCGTAATAAAGCAATAAAGAAAATAATAATAGGTGAGTATTATTGATCGTAGGTCGCAGGTAACATCTTCAGTAGATCCTACAGGTGCACATTCTTCGTGAGTCTTCACACGTCACATTTTTAACGATGTTGACACCTGGAAACGAATTCAGTATTCAAACTACATCTTCCAAAGTCAGCATGAGAAGTTTTAACTAAATTGAAACTTCAAATTATGCTTTAAGTCAGGAAGTTTAATTTCTCAAATCTTGAAAAATGAGTTATGGCGTAACAATGTCTATTTTTAAGGCTGATCAATTATTTTTCTCTCTTGAAAAAAGCACTCAGTACATTTGATCATTGTGAGTCAACGTTACACAATTTCAAACTTGAATGAATTTTGTTATGCAAAACTTTACAACGTGTGTAACCTTTTAATGACGATTCAATGACTAACTAATCTTAACTTGCGGCACTGTGAAACATACTTAATTTTAAATCTTTACTCATTAAGTATGAATAATCACATAATGAGCAGTGACGTTAATTTGTATGTTTAGTGAAACTTATAGTGCGGATATCAATTTTCCTCCCATTATTAATTTCAGAAATTTTCCATCACTTCATTTAAATAAAACTTAAAAGTAAACATAGGTCTCTACGTGGCAGCCGCGAGTAAGACGTGTGGTAACCAACCCTTGTGACAACCTGCCCCGATCTCCCCTAAGCATTATAATCTTTAATTATTTAACTTAAAAACGGTAAAAGCAAATTCCTGCTTATTGGCATGGTATATCCTTCATTTATCTACTTTATGCAAGAATAAAATTCAAACTGTAGAAATTTCCAGTGAAGTAATCAAATTTCTCAAGCAAATAAAATTAGCAAAACAGATATTCTCATATGGAAATATAGTAAATTTGCCTTCCTCTTCATGTATAGAACGAATAATTTAATTACATATACCTATTTTCTTTATTTGGAACAAGTTTCGACGTAAATATTTCACGAGCATTCCCTTTCTTCACTAAATTAGGAATATTGCTAAATTACTAATTTTATTACTTGATGCTATAAGAAAATATCTTTTTTGTGTTTATTGCAATCGTGATATGTTAATAAGTAAAAGAATTTGACGTGTGGTGTTCTTTATTTTTAACTTTTACAAATTATCAAATGGGCACACGATGTGACATTATTAACTAACAAACTAATCATATTATAAAGAAATGAATTAAAGAATACACAAATGTGTTTTTTTTGTAAACCAAACTAGTTTATTTAAATTGCTGCATGTGATTTTTATACTGACTCGTTTTAACATCTATCGCACAATCTCAATATGATGTGATTTAGTTGAGCATAAAAATGTATCGGTGAATGGATGAAGCCGTTTTTAAAGATTAGATGTTCCAAGGAGAATGGTTCTAATGTTGTTTTAGCGAACAAGGTCGACTAAGATAGATCGTAGTCGAAAAATAACATGCGTGGCCCACAACAGCCCGTGTTATTAAATATGGCAGCCAATTACATCATTTCTTTTATCTGCTTCCTTTTTTCTTTGTTTATCGAATTTCCTTCATGGTGGTGGGTAGGTTTTCACAAGACATATCTGGGACACACATTTTGAGAGAACTTTTAAATATCAACGTTTGGAAATGATTGGTTAAATATCTCAAAAGAGAGAGCTATCTTTGGATATTGGGCAACACATGCCTCTGCTATTTGCTACAATAGGACTCAAGGCTAGTGGGGTCACTATCGAAAATTAAGTGAAGCCTTGCACTTTTCTAGTAGCTTTTAGATTACCATCGTCATTTCCTGAAAGCAAGTGTGATAGAACGTGTATTTCGTCATGATCATGAAGTAATCAACGTTTGGCATCAACATTCGTTTTTCTTGAGCATTGAGAATTTGCTATAACGGTTGCATTGTTTTACAACCTTTCAGTGAAGTCTTTTTAAAGCAAAAGCAAATTTGCCAATACAGCTATTACGCATCTTTATTGCTCAACTGTAATTAATAATTACTTGTTATTAACATTAATCTACGTTGTCGTTAGTGTTATTATTTCAAGAAATTTTGTAATCGTATTTATAAATGTAGTTTTTTACGAAGTATGTCGCATCTTTGGTTAGGGGTCAATGGTTCACGTCGCGTCGTTTTGATATTTACTACATAAATATTCAAGTGCAGACTTATGCACTTCACGTGTTTGATTTAACATTTAAAAATTCCAGAAAACTTCACACTAGTTTTGCAATATTCGGCTCTAAATATAATCCTAAAAGTTGACCATTGACCTATAAGAATTTTAAACGTTGAAAGTTTTATAACAAAACTATTTTTACGTAAGCCATAGTTATAGATTGTCAAATCAGTTACACTGTTAAACGTTGGTACATTTAGACTTCTTGTATTCAGTGATTAAAAAAAATTACACTCATTAAAATTAAAAATGATGTTTGTTGTCTGGAACGACTTTTACGTTGTAAGCCCCTTTATGATGATAAGAGGACCATAAAAATTTGCAGAATAAGTTGGCAGATAATACAATTCATGTGACTCACACATGTATGATGAGTATCAAGTGGTTAAATAGATATAGCTGTGGGAGTTTCCATAATTCTTAATGTACGGCAAAATGAAAATTTGTTCGTATCGCGTTTTAAAATTACAAAATGGTTTGTGTACGATTTGTTAGAAGTAGTTCAGGATTATCTAGAGAAAATATTGGACTTTAAAGAAAATTAATTAATTAATTGCGTTTTTTGGATGTTATAATTTAATCAATGACAAAGCCATTATTATGTAAACTCCGAGACGTAATCTGTGTTGTTGGAAGGCAGATGTGGGTAGAAATAAGAGTGAGATAAAAAATTAAAGATATTTATAAACATTTGATTTCTGTCTTTGAAGAAGATTGTGCGTTACAACTACTACCGACAAATTTGAGCCAAAAGGTTTCACTATTTCATATAGGTAGAAGAACACTGTGAAAAGTAACTAAAGTGGCGATAGTTAAGTATGACATGACACGAGATATAACCATCTTTAACGTTATTTGTGGTTTTTATTGGCAGAGTTTACTGAACAATTATGAAAAAATCTCATATAATAATAAATAGACATAAAAATGGGTCAACAGTTTTGTCTAAAACACCCTGCATTTTATTATAATCCTTAAAAGTATAACTGAATTCAAATCTTTCTGGCTTGTTCCAGCTTAAAATTTATTGGTTAATAAAAAAGAACGGAAAAATCAAAACATTTTGAAAATGATCAGCGATATTTATTGTATACAGAAGCTGTTTTTATCTCTTAAAAAAGTTTTAATAGATTAATAGGAATAAGTCGTTATGTCTTTTTTCTACAAATAACAATAACAACCGTGTATAGAACTTTACTTATTTATGAAACTTTCGCAGCGCTTTGAACTTATACAATATTACCTATAACGAAATAATGAAAATAAAACTTCATTTATATAAAACTACGAGTATTGGTCATATTTCCACAGCCCATTTAAAAATAAACATTATTTAGTAATCGAAAAAGTTTACTTTTTTATTCAATTTGTCTATAATGTTATAGTTATTATAAATTATCATTTAATATGTATAGTGCCAGACAATAAATTTGGTCCACCATTATTCCGTCACTTAGAAAAAATTAAATGTAAACTATGCCTTATTGTCAATATAATTGACGTGCAATTTTTTTTTATTGTCGTAACAATAGTGTCACACCACTGTCAGGCATCAAACTGTCATCAACATGTTTTCAGTTACACACTTTAATAAAGTTCGAATAATTTCCCTTTCTCTAGAGAGGATGTCACGTAGACAAATTTCTGCAGCTTCAAAATGACAATCATACATAACAGGACTCTAAAGGTGAGGTTAGTTCACATATAGCCTGCATTAGAGGCGAATGTCATTTAGACATTTGTGGTGAACCAAATTTATTGTCCGGCACTGTACATCATGTACTTATTTGAAAAATGGAAGAACGTAATTTGAGGTATAAGACCTGCGCCCTTGCGCGAAAAAATTCGGCTAACATGTTTTTAAATACATGGCAGGTAACGCAACGATAACAAAAGGGCTTCATGGTCAAAGCGAAAAGAAAAATATTTCTACTATACAAGGTGTCACGATTAAATTATTGAAAAAATGTTGAAGTCTCATATGTGGTGTACATATATTGTACGTATGTACATACTAGTAGTTTGACACTATCCAAATAATAGCAATAATTACAGTAAACGTTTTTGTAATATAAGTGATTAGGAAACCTACAACCTATAGGTAGGTATATGATATGACATACAGAATCCCACGAGGCGTAAATTTTTTTGTTATCTGCAATTTAGTATTAAGTATTATTATACATAAGTCTACTCATTTTTAAATGAACTGTGGTTGATAACAATATTTCAGATTTTTGCCAAATATGCTTTTAGGTCAATTCTTATCAGTTTGATAAATAAAACGAACGGATTTTGTTCAATACCATGAATGAAACTTCACGTTTTGGGTGAATTATAATCAGTTTTGAAACAACTGATGAAATTTTAAATAAATTACGTATTTTCAAAAAACTTTAACAAATGATAACATCATCAAACACGTAAATTATTTAATGAACAATTTATTATTGGTAGCACGTGGTTAAATTAAATAAATGTTATTATCAGTTTCAAATAATGTTTTGTACCTACTGTTTTACCAAACTTACAAATAAATACGAAATCTTTTTTTAGTTTGAACACTCAGAAATTGCACGGAAAAGCTAGTTTCAAACTTAATACACTCAATCTTAGAGAATTTATTATGCTCTTGTATAAAGCAATTTTATTGTACGTAGCATAATTATACATTTTCTTCAGTTTTACATCATTCTAATGATGGACATAATTCAGATGTTATGTAGGATAGTAAAGTATCTTTTGTTTGTAAATAGGGTTTGTTTTGTTCTAGGG